CAATACTTTTGAAAGTTCATCAACTTATCTAGCTCCACTACTTGGATTGACCTATGGTTTACACAAAACTTTTAGGGATCTGTATGTGCTGCAAGGCATACTGCTAGTTTTGTGCGAGGAGACGATGTCATCCACAAGTTGTTTACAGAACTGGCTTAACGGTACACGTGAGTATTAAACTTGATGTAATTTTAATCACCAATTTATGACTGTTAATTGTGACACTGAACAGACGTTGTGTTGTACAGGGATAGATCTGGTGGGTACACCAGGTTGCTTCGGACTCGTATTCGAGTTGGCGATGTTGCACCAATGGCCTATATTGAGTAAATCTCTTTATTTTCTGATAGTCACTAGTCTAACTGACCTTGTTAGTTCTGTTATTTTTGTATCCCAGCTTGATTTCACTAAAGAAGTCATTTCTTTTCATTATTGGTGCAAATAGTTATCGATAATTGCGCTATCAGGTTGTGAAGTTACCGAAGGATGTGCGGGAAGGCTTCAGCTGAGAATTAAACCAATCAAACCTGAAAAGGTATATTTTCAAATCACATTTCCGCTACTTGTTCAGTTGTCTAAATGGTTGCAAATGTGAGATTTTTTTGTTTGCCACTTATGAATCAAATCTTGTAACAGATGATTGAACAATCACCTCTCTCTGCAGCATATAGAGCCTTGATTGTTTCGATGTTGTCATAGCTACCAAAAAATATCAGAGACCGTTCGTGAATTATTGTTGGAATTTAATCAAGTGCCCTTTGCTTGTTGGTGAAAGACTGTCCTCTGGCTTGTTACTCCATAAAACAATGTGTGATGAACATCAGTTACCATAATTCAAATATATCTTAGAGACTTGGTTGATAAACCATCTGTGAGAAATTCTCACTTTACTGTTTTTTTCATTAGTTTAGAGAATATGTCTAGCTAAGTGATTGTACCTTTTGTTTGGAATTTGGTTTGAAGTACTCTTAGCCAAATTAATAACTACATGACAAAATACTTTAGTTGTGTTTATAAAATATTTTGGTTTGAAGTACTCTTAAGCCAAATTAATGGTATCACATTTGTCATTATTATTTTAATTTCAAGTATTTTAGCTACTTAGTTATAATTATTTTATAAATTCTAATGTCGTAAAATGCAAATGCCATATATATATATATATATATATATATATATATATATATATATATATATATATATATATATATATATATATATATATATATATATATATATATATATATATATATATATATATATATATATATATATATATATATATATATATATATATATATATATATATATATATATATATATATATATATATATATATATATATATTATAAATGATTTGGTGTTAAAAAAAAAGTGTATTAGAATAGTGTTTTGAAGAGAGCGTGCTATAATAGCGCTTTGTTAGAAAGTGCTATCAAAATTAAAGCAATTTACCGGTATTTTAATAGCGCTTTGTTTGAAAGTGCTATCGAATATGTGGATTATAATAGCGCTTTCTTTGAAAGTGCTATTAAATATGTGTCTTATAATAGCGCTTTATTTGAAAGCGCTATTAAATATGTGTATTATAATAGCGCTTTGTTTGAAAGTGCTATCAAAATTAAAGCAAATTACCGGTACTATAATAGCGCTTTGTTTGAAAGCGCTATCAAATATGTGACTTATAATAGCGTTTTTGTAAAAGCGCTATTAAATACAGGTCCTATAATAGCGCTTTTGAAAAAGCGCTATTAATAACCAGAACTATAATAGCGCTTTTAAAGCGCTATTAAAAATTTTGTTTTACAATAGCGCCTTGATTAATAGCGCTTTAAAGCGCTATTAAAAAACAAAAAAAGCGCTATTAAAAAACATTTTTGTAGTAGTGAAGAGAATTGGCTAGAGATTTAATACCAAAGTAAGAAAAATGGGATTTCACAAAGGAGATCTGGTTGTAAATAGGGTGACTGACCTTAAGAAGAAAGGCAAGCTAGCTTCGAATTATGAAGGACCTTTTTGTATCCGTCAGAAGTTAAATAATAGGTCTTACAAGTTAGAAAGTTTGGAGGGTGTTGAAATACCTAGGGCCTGGAATATAATTAATGTTAAGTTGCATTTTTTCCTTTGTAAAAGCAAGGGTTTTTAATGAGGCACCCATAGTTAAAATATTTGTATTGTATAAAGCAGGTAAATCGGTTCTAGGACATGATCCGGGATTAAGTCCAGAGTCGGCGAGTAATCATCGGAAGGTCGTATCTTTCCACATAATCGGTTACGGTCGGGACACTTAACCAATCATTTAAGGCTCTCCCTGACCCATGTTTAACATTTTAATATGATTTGTTTTGGTGGATTATCTAGTATTCTTGTTTTGGTTAATTATTAATATGATTTTAATAAAATTTATATTTTGTCTGTTATAGGGGTTACTTGTGAAGAGGAAGGTTGTGATCGTTTCCAAGCATCCTACTGTGTAGCTTTCTTAGAATTAGGAATGACCTTTTTCATTTTTCCGACTTTATTTTCATTTTGCATTGTCTGCATAGCTTATCATACCCTTCATCATGAATAAATCCTAAAATGATTAGGCAGAATGAATTCTCGGATATACAGACCGACAGATTGAATTATTTCTCAAATATTCAAAAAAAATCAGTGGTTGAAAAGTTTCGAATTTAAGCTTGTAGACGTTAGTAATATTGATCTACTATTCACAAAGTTTAACCAGACGCGCTCGTCTTAGTTTTCGACGACTTCTCAGTCACATATCGATAAGTCTGAGGCTTTTATCGGTCTTGATTTATTTTCAAATTTGACCAAACATTGTATTTTTCCAAGTCGTTTATTTCGCGCTGATCATTTTAATGCAGTCGATTGATTTTTCTGGGCACTTTGTCGCCCTATTTTAATTATTTTCAGCCGTTTTATTTTTTTCTTGTCGCGAAAATATTCATAATAATAAAATATAATTTTCCATGTCTAGCTTCGAATTAGGAATGACCTTTTTGTATCCGTCAGAAGTTGAATAATAGGTCTTACACGTTAGAAAGTTTCGAGGGTGTTGAAATACCTAGGGCCTGGAATTAATATAACCAACCTTAAGTTTTATTTTAGCTAAACTATGTAATAAACATCGTAAATAAAAATTATCGGGATGCACTTTTTCCATTGCAAAGGCAAGGGTTCTTAATGAGACACCCATAGTTAAAATATTTGTATTGTGTAAAGCAGGTAAATCGGTCCTAGAACATGATCCGAGATTAAGCACAGAGCCAGCGAGTAATCATCGGAAGGCCATATCTTTCCACATAATCGGTTATGGTCGGGACACTTAAGCAATCATTTAAGGCTCTCCCTGACCTGTATCAAAGAAGTCAACTTTGTAGTGTTTTTAGCAAGAACATGAAACTATCGCCATAACTTGATCAACATAACCACAACTTGATATTCAAACATATTCATTTGATCATTGCGTCAAATGATCTTTAGGCTTCGCATTAATTAACACATCTTGATCTTCAAACACCATCACTTGGTCAACATATCCAACACTATCACTTTATCATATCAAGCATCATAGTCTTCGTTTCTTAAGAATATTGTAACATCAAAACCAAATCAATAGGTTGTTGTTGACTTTAAACCTGCAAACGCATAGATCCATATTCTACATCCTTTTGAAGATGACAATGCATCTCTCAAGGATGAGGACAAACAAAGGAAATACAATTTGGATAGGTTAAAATCTCCCCGATAAATATAGAGTATACCCTACTCTCTTAAAATTATACTTCTCTCTCTCTAGCAACATCAAAAAGGCAGAAAAGATAAACACATGCAATCACATAGATCATATAATTGCGCAAGTAGAAGGAAGGAGTAACTTGACAATATTGTCGTATTTTTTATAGAGCGAATAAAAAATTTAAGTTTTAATTTTTTAATATATTAGTTCCGTCCACTTTTTTTTACACGTTTTTGTGAATATGAATATTAACATGATATTTTGTATTTTAAACTTGTGAATTTAATCTTTTTATTTAACATTATATTTTACTATTTAAACTTATAAATTTAATCTTTTTTGCGAACTGTGTTCTTTCAACATGATATTTTCCGTTAAAACATTTTGAAAAATAGTATAAAAAAAAGAAAGAAAAAGTCATCTCTCAAAATGTTATAATTCAACTTATCTTTAGAAGTCTTACCATATAATTCAACTTACGTTTGAAAGAAATTTAAAACTCATAAAAAGTCATCTCTCATATAATGTGTTGATTTAGTAAATCTCTTGTTTTTCAAAGTAGGAAGGTTCTTGACAATTTATCGTTCTGTTGAGAATTTGCACCACTTTGCGGTTCTACTATTTTTGAAGATATATTCGAAAAGGAAGTTACTCAATAAATTTTTTTATTAATATTTTTTTAATAAAGATGTAATTCAATTAAGAAGTCATATTAACATTTTATACTAATGAACTTAATCGTTTTATTTCAAATTTAAATAGTTTTTATATAATATGTTTTCTAAATGGTAGAATTTATTTCAAATTTAAATATTTTTAAATTGAAAAATGACTTAAATAATCATTTATGATTAAAAAAATTATATGCATAATTTAAAATAAAATTCTCAATTTATTCATGAAAACTATTTACAAAAAATTTTAATTTAATATGTTTTTTAATATTTGATATCCAAAACTAAATTATAGACATATACTAAAATATTTCTTAAGAAAAATTGAGAAGTTATTTTTAAAGCATTTGTTTATAAATATTTAAATGGTGGATAAATACAATTAAAATAAAACATTTATTTTCTAATTTGAAACGAATATTGAATTCATCAACGTCAACGCAGTCTAAAAAGTTGAACATGACTTATTCAATTATATTCCATCACGTCTCATACAAAATCTAATGCATCACATTAGTATAAAAGGCTTGTAAGGATCCATTTTGTATACATAAAAAAGAAATCATTTCCTATACAAAAAAATGGCAGAATCTTCATCAACCAAAAGCAGTCTGTTTTTTATTTTTATTATTTTTGAAATTTTTGTATTCGGCCTTGCGACAACCGAAAGCAATCTTAGATTAGCCGGCAAAGTAGTCATCATTACCGGAGGTGCCAGCGGTATCGGCAAAGAGACGGCTCATCTTTTTGCCAAACAAGGTGCACGTATGGTGGTGATTGCTGATATTCAAGACAAATTGGGAATTCAAGTGGCTGAATCCATTGGTACTGATAAGTGCAGATTTATTCATTGTGATATTAGAATTGAAGATGATGTCAAAAATCTTGTTCAATTAACTGTCGATACTTATGGACAAGTAAGTACATTTTTTTTTATAAAATTTCTAAAAAAAATGTTATACAAATAGATGTTCCGATAATATAAACAAGTCTTTTGTATTTATAAATTAACAAAATATTTTAAATGTGTTTTGAATTTTTTTCTTTTCGTCTTTACTACAGGTAGATATTATGCACTGCAATGCTGGGATTATAAGTCCAAGTGATCAAACCTTGTTGGAGCTTAACGTTTCTCAAGCTAATGGTGTGTTTGCAACTAATGCTATAGGAACCGCATTGTGTGTAAAATACGCCGCACGGGCGATGGTGGCGGCTAAGGTGAGGGGTAGCATTGTGTGCACGGCGAGCATAGCTGGTAGCTACGGTGTTACGACGGGGACAGATTACTCAATGTCAAAGCATGCAGTAATAGGGTTAATGCGCTCAGCGAGTGTGCAACTTGCAAAATATGGTATAAGAGTGAACTCTGTGTCGCCAAATGGATTAGCAACACCATTGACTGAGAAATTGCTACACGCGGATGCCAAGACAGTGGAAGCGATTTTTTCAAAATACTCGATGTTGAAGGGAGTCGTTCTAAGGACTAAAAACGTGGCAGATGCAGTGTTGTTTTTGGCATCTAATGAGTCTGCTTTTGTCACTGGTTTTGATCTTCGTCTGGATGGAAACTATATTACTAGCCCCGATGTAATTTGAAGAATTTTAGTTGGACTATTACATGCATAATGTGGCCCATAATCCATATTATGAAATAAATACAACAAAAAAATATAATAAATGCAAATAAAAAGAGTGGTATATTTTAATATTTTAATATGAAAAATTTTGTAATTTCTATTTTCAATATGGAATCTGTGATCCATACTTGATTAATTGTACCATTTTCTTGTATTTTAATTTTAAGAGTATTAAATTTGAAATAGTATTATTATTGGATGAAATTTTTTAATCTTAAATTTATTAAGATTCAAACTAGAATGTTTAGACTTTTATATATATATATATATATATATATATATATATATATATATATATATATATATATATATATATATATATATATATATATATATATATATATATATATATATATATATATATATATATATATATATATATATATATATATATATATATATATATATATATATATATATATATATATATATATATATATATATATATATATATATATATATATATATATATATATATATATTCTAAAGTGGATCACATAATACTGGTTCGATGATAAAGACTATCATGAGATATTTTTTGTATTGATGCGATGGTTCTTCGACGAATAAAGAAAAGTATTTGTAAAAGAAGTTAGCATTCCAATATCAAATTAGAATAAGATGTATGCATAATTATATAAGTGTGAGTTGAATAAGGGAGATCATGTAAATTAGAGAAAAGTGGAGGTGTGTTACTGTGTAGTAGTGTATAAGGGAGGTTTAGTTGTATGCTAGCACAACGAGCACCTTGAAGAAATTCGACCTTGTAGACATGGTCAATCTTATTTCGTCTTTTTATGTGATTTTAAACATGAAAAATTATGGAAACTAATTTGTAAAAGTCCTCTTTTAAATTTTAGCAATACCGCTTCCATTATTAAACTGAAAGTGATCGACCTTGTCAATAATAGGGAATTTTATCTCACTACTATTAACATGAATAACATCAAAGCTAGATTTAGTTTTGGAGACGTCAAGTTAACTAGTCCCGTTGTTATAGAGAATGTCATGGATGATCCCAGGGTGCAATGTTACCCCGTCGGGCAGAGTGATACTCCGTAGAGTGCAAACTCTTAAGCGTGAGCCATTTTATATGTTTATTCTACCGTTTCTAGATTGCAGTTTATGTTTGTCTCGTTTTCTCCTTAGCTTAAGTTGTCACGTTGTCGGGTGGGTGTATCTCTTGGCGAACAAGTGCCTCCAAACACAAGATATTTTTACTCAAAATATAAAATTGTGTTAGGTTGATAATGGAATAAAGAAGAGAAGAAGAAAATAAACATATGTAAATTTAAATAACATAAAATAAAGTGAAAAAATAAATAAATAAATAAAGAGGGTTATAGAGATTGCACTAGGATTTGTAGTGGTTTGGCAGAATCTTGGCCTAGTCCTCTCACAAATAATGGCTCCTTGAGAGTTTTAATAATAATTTGAGCTTTTACAAGATATGCCCATGAACCTTTATTACAAGTTAGACGAAAGATTCTACACATGTTGATTCTATCAACCGAACAAGAGCTTTTATCAGACTAAGCTCATGAATCAAGTAGATATTCTATTGGCTAATCTCATGAAACAAACCAAAATTTTTACCACGATAAGTTTTAGAACTAAATAGAGATTTTCAGAGGTTTATATCTAGAACTAAACATAGAACCATCAAGATAGTCGCACTCGTGAATCAACCAACCAAACCACGACATCAATACATAAACTTCCACGACATTGACACATAAACTTTCTCACAGATATTTTTCACTCACAAGGCATCAAGGAAGATTTTAGTGAAAGATAATATAAAAATATTGCAGATGAGTAAAGAGGGAGAACAAAATGAATGAATTAAGAATTCGGGTATATTTTAGAATGAGGTTAAGCCTATTTTATATAGGATAATATTAGTTTAAAAAAAAGAAAATGATCCATGAGCTAAATTGAATGCAATAATCGATTATTTAATCTTATAATCGACTATACCACTCTGAAAATGGAGATATTTGATCTCAAACTACTACCAATCGATTATAGACTCTTCCAATTAGTTTTAGGCGTTACAAAGTGTAACGCCTCAAATTTTGGTCCAAAATAATATTTTAAAAGTCTATTTACTTTAAAATTCATATTTACTGTTAAAAAAAGCGACTATTTTTTTTAACTGTAATATCTAAAAATTTATGATTTTTATTACATTACAAATCCAATAAACCTTTTTTATTTAAAATTTCAATGACCACATATAACTTCACATCAAACTAACTTCATATCTTCAAATTCATTGTGCCTAAGATGTTGGTTTGTAAGAAGTCAACTTCCATAATCTAGTAGCATACAAAATAAAACTAAATAAGAAATTAAAAATTAGGTATATCATACTTTTATAAAAAAGGAACAAATTAGACCTTGACAAATTTTCTCAAATATAAAGGATTAAAATGTTAACATTAGAGTATAAAAAAACACATATCCACATGACCCAAAATAAAAATTTATTCAGTAAAAATAAATCTTAACATATGTAAAGAAAATATTCTTAGAAATGTAAACTGAAATTATTATAATTAGTAAATTAATACATTATTAAGCACGCCTCTTAGGAAAATCCTGTCGTTTAGGCAATATACAATCCAAATAACAACATATAATCATGCACATGGTTAAAATCATAAATTTTAAATAATAAATTTTACCACTTATGCAAACTTCACTTAGACATCAAACAAACACTACTCAATCAACATGAAATCACATACACACATTTATATTACCTAATCGCATCATTTAAATAAACATACTGTCAAAGTATAATAACACATAACGTCAATTATTTTAAAATCAAAACAATTTTTACTAACAATTCCAGCATAGCAAAATCAAACTCACATTTTATCTTTCAATTTACATAAAACAAATTTTGGAGCGGATAACATTTATCAATATTTAAATAAATAAAAAACCTAACTAAACAAATAAATAAAGGAAATATTCTAAATTACTTGTTACTTTCAAATTTCTTTTGTCTCAGAAAAAAATATATTTTTTTAACATTTTATTAAAATGACTTAAACACCTTAATCTTATTTTATTTTTCTATTATAAGTTTTATTTGTTCTTCTAAAAATATCCAAATAATATACAATACACTACGCCAGAATTGACTTTTAGCAGCGTATACAAAGACAACGCTTTTTAAAAAAGCGCTGCTAAAGAGTCATTAAAAAAAGAAAAAAAATTGCCTACCACAGACAACGCTTTTTAAAAAGCGCTGCTATAGGGGGGGCCCTAAGAAAGCGCTTTTATAAAAGCGGTGCTAAAGGGGGGTCATATGAAAGCGCTTTGGTAAAGCACTGCTGTATGTGGTACATAAGAAAAAAATTGCCTACCTACGAGAGCGCTTTTTCTGTAAAGCTCTGCTATATGGGGTACATAAGAAAGCACTGCTATTTGTCATTGCGAAGCGCTTTAAGATTGATGCATGTCCCAACAATTGCATGTTATTTTGGAAAGATCATGGGAAAGATGATTCATGTTATATTTGTGTAGTATCAAGGTGGATTGAATATCCTGAAGTTGCTAATGATCTTGAAGAATCTATAAAAGCTCATAAGGTTTCCGCCAAAGTTCTAAGACATTTTCCTTTGATTCCAAGATTGAAAAGACTTTTTATGTGTTCAAAGACAGCCGACACATTGAGGTGGCATGCATACCATCGTTCAAGGGATGGGAAGTTAAGGCATCCAGCCGATGCCCAAGCATGGAAAGACTTTGATGCCAAACATTCAAATTTTTCTCTTGAAACTCGTAACATTAGACTTGGGTTGGCAAGTGACGGGTTTAATCCATTTAGGACTATGAGTTTGTCACATAGCACATGGCCTGTTGTTTTAACAATATATAACTATCCGCCAAATTTGTGCATGAAAGCTGAAAATTGTTTAATATCGTTACTTATTCCTGGACCAAAGTCACCCGGAAATGAAATTGATGTGTATTTGCAGCCACTTATTGAGGAGCTTAAGATATTGTGGGATGTCGGTGTAGAAACATATGATATATCAAAAAATCAATCATTTCAAATGCGTGCAGCTCTTATGTGGACTGTGAATGACTTCCCTGATGTAATTTGAAGAATTCTAGTTGGAGTATTACATGCATAATGTGGCCCATAATCCATATTATGAAATAAATACAACAAAAAAATATAACAAATGCAAATAAAAAGAGTGGTATAATTTTAATATTTTAATATGAAAATTTTTGTAATTTCTATTTTCTTTATGGAATCTGTGATCCATACTTGATTAATTGTATCATTTTCTTGTATTTTAATTTTAAGAGTATTAAATTTGAAATAGTATTATTATTGGATGAAATTTTTTAATCTTAAATTTATTAAGATTCAAACTAGAATGTTTAGACTTATATATATATATATATATATATATATATATATATATATATATATATATATATATATATATATATATATATATATATATATATATATATATATATATATATATATATATATATATATATATATATATATATATATATATATATATATATATATATATATATATATATATATATATTCTAAAGTGGATCACATAATATTGGTTCGATGATAGACTATCATGAGATATTTTTTGTATTGATGTGATGGTTCTTCGACGAATAAAGAAAAGTATTTGTAAAAGAAGTTAGCATTCCAATACCAAATTAGTATAAGATGTATGCATAATTATATAAGTGTGAGTTGAATAAGGGATATCATGTCACTAGTAGAAAAAATACTTTATAGTAGAGGCTCTTAAGTCAGTTCACCTGCCACCTAACTTAAGAAGTTATGCGGTGGCAATTTTGTAAATATTTGTAACTTTGTTAAGTCGGGTGCATTTAAAACTGATTTAAAAAAAATTTCTTAAGTCAGATGTGGTTACTAACTGACTTAAAAAATCAATTTATTAAGTCAGGTGTCTTCCACCTGACCTAAGAAGTTTTATTTACTTAAAACAAATTAAATTCTGTGTGCATAATACAGGAATCGAATTGGGTATCTTGAACAAACTTGGACAAACTAGAAACCCTAATCAAACTTCCCTCCAACGTTGTCATGTGATCTCCTCGTCTTCATCTGGACCCTAATCAAACTTCCCTCCAACGTCGTCCAATGCCCTTCTTTATCATCTCCTCGTCTTCATCTGGAATTTCGCGGCTTCTCCGTTCTCCTTGTTGCTTCGCGCTTTGGTGGTTAACCTGCAGCTCAACATAGATTGCAAAAGTGATTCGAAGAAAACAACCTTTTACCCAAGAATAGGAGTCGGCGGTGGCTCGTTAACAGTGGCGGTGAGACGATGATGAATCCTCGAGGATGATTTGAGCCTCACGGCGGTGATGAGTCTCCTCCGGTTTGAGCTTTTCTGCTTCTCTTGTAATAGAGGCTTCTTTCGTAGGAAGGGGAAGCCAATCGGGGTTTCTCTCAAGGAAGCGGCTAGTCTTCCCTTCGCTGCATGTACTGTCTGGTCATCTATCTTTATCACCAGCAGACTATATAGAGAGGAAACCTTGTTGGTAAGCATGGTTCTTGATTCTTGCCTTGCTATTGATCTTTTATCTTCATGTTAACTTTATGAATTCTCAGATTCATGGAGGTTCTGGCGGAATCGACACATTTGCAATTAAGGCAGCTAAGTTGGGTGGATCAAGAGTAATTGTAGTTGCAGGTTCACTATTTCTTTTCATGTTTTTGAATATTTACTCAGTTTGATGTCTTTAAGCCTTGACATGATTGAAATTACAAGCTATGTTTGCAGAAATTTGATTCTAGATATTACTATGCAGATGATCAAGAGAAGTTATCTTATTGTGCGAGATTCAAGCCGATGTTTGCATCAATTATAAAATTGAGGACTTTGCTGCTAGAGTGAAGGAAGAAACTGGTGGTCGAGGTATGAAGCTTGGTGTAGATTCTTGATATCTTTGTTTTTTGATGAGGTAATATTATTACCATTGATTTTGTGGCAGGTGTTGATGTTATTCTTGATTGTACTGGAACATCTTGCTTTCAGAAAAATATTGAGTGCTTGAATGTTAATGGAAGGCTTTTCGTTATCGGCACTCTAGGGGCGACTCCTGCATAAAACACAACACCAAAAGAATATGATGTCTGAACGAGCTAAGCTTCACACAGCCTTAACTTTTTTACAATTCTGTCATGCAGGAAATCATATATTTCTCATAATTGCACTCAATACAGGAGTCAGCAAGCTTGTTTTTCCTGTCTATAGAAACATCACTGCTTTCATTCTTCTAGCTCCGCTCGCATATTTCACTGAAAAGTATTCTACTTTACCTCTATACCAACCTTTGATTATAGTATTCAATTTTCTCACTATATTTTGTTATTGTTTTTATGTGTTTCCCTCTTGCAAGGAAAGATAGGCCACCAATAACCAGTTATTGTTTGTTACATTTTTTCCTACTTGGACTTGTAGGGTACATTCTCTTTTCATGAAGTCATTTCATTCATCTTTATATTTGTTCAAAACATGTTTGTGTAACTTTAAACGTTACCTATTTGATTCTTGCAGAATAACTATGAAAGAAGGATTTTACCTTGTGGGTTTGGACAATACATCGCCAACATTTGCTTCTGCTATGCAGAATTCTGTTCCTGCTCTTACATTTCTGATGGTTTTGATACTAAGGCGAGTTATAACTAATAACCCTTGTTCTCTAGAGCTTAAATTTCAGATCTTTTTTATTATATATTCATGAACTTGTTCGATTATGCATGCGAAATTGCAGATACGAGAGGTTGCGCTTAAATAGGATAAATGGTATTGCTAAGATTCTTGGAGTAGTTGCTTCTGTTGGAGGAGCTTCAATCGTTACCCTTTACAAAGGACCAACAATTTATGCTCCAGAATCATGTTTAGCAGTACATCAGAGACGGTTCTTGTTTCTATTTGAGAAAGCTAATGGGAAAATTTTGGGCTTGGGTGGCATTTTTCTCTTTGGTCATTGTTTGAGTTGGTCTGGTTGGATTGTGATGCAAGCATTTGTTCTGAAAAATTATTCAGCACAACTCACTGTTTCTGTGCACAACTCTTAGATGTTAGAAGAATAATTTATATGCTAGTAAAACTATAATAGTTTCTTGAGCATTATGTTAAGGTGACCAAATATTACATCATTTCTTTGATATAGCAGGGTAGTTCTTTGATACATCAGTTTCTGTGGTATTTGAGTATTTCATGAATCATGATCAAGATGGTTATGTGGAGACGGTTATCACAGTTGACGAGAGTTATTTTATGATTATATTTTCAAACATTATTTATGAACTTTACTTTGTGGATGAATATGTAGGTGATAAAGATATTTTCAGTCTGAACCCATAAGGCACGTCTTCTTCTTTTCGAATTTTGCTATTGGATTTGTTATTTATTCACGCATTGTTGATTATAATGCGTTAAAGGTTTGATTTTGTTTCTTGGGTCAGTGTTCTTCCAACTGTTTGATCATTTTCCTCAACCAAAATTCATCATGTCTAGCTTTGTGGGTGTCCTTGTTTCTGATCAATGGCTTCAGAGCCAATTCACCCAAGTCGAACTTCGAACCCTCAAATCAAAAGTAAGTTTTTTTAATTTATTTTATTTAAATTGTACCCTTTGTTTGTTTTCTTGATTATTGATAAGAATCTCGATGTATCTGATTGTGAAATTGTGAAATGTGGAATATATTTGTAGTATGTATCCCAAAGAACTCTGTCGGGACGTGTTACTGTGGGAGATTTGCCACATGTTTTCAATAAATTGAAGGTTTTCTCTGAGCTTTTTACCGAGGATGAAATTAAGGATGTATTGGCAGAGTCATATCAGAACATGGATGATGAAATTGACTTTGAGTCCTTCCTTAGGGTGAGTCTTTTTACGTTCTTGCGTTGCTGTTCTTCAAATGTTAAAGCTTTAGATTTCTGTTCCCATTCGTTTTTTTTTAATTATTTTATATGATTCTTCTGTCTTAGAATATGTGTGTATGTTGATTTCCTGAAGAAATAGTATGATAATGGATAAATTATACTCATCTCCCTAAGGTATGCTTAAATGATGCATCTACTCCCTTGAGTTAGGAAAAGACATTGACATCTCACTCAATTGCTTGAATCTCCCATCTATCATGTAAAAAAAGATGGTGTGTATGTGTTTCATTTAAGCCAAACTAAGGGAGGGTTGTATGCAATTTTTCCAACAAATAAGAGGGGGCATGAGCGTTACTTAAGCATTCCTCATAGTAGATGAGTACAAATTTCCACAAGAGCATACAAGAATCTCGTTTGATGCTCAATTTGTTTCTAGGGTCTTAGCATTATGCACCTAACTTGAATGTATACTTTTGTTTTTGTTTTGAATGTCTGAGTGGGAAAATATATTCAGTTTATTTGCAAGTACTTTTATAGGTATTATTTATATTGAACCCAAAAGCTTATTTATTGACATTGTGTGGTAGGCACATTTAAATTTGCAAGCTCGAGCTATAGCAAAAGATGGCGGTTCAAAAAGTTCTTCTTCATTTTTGAAGGCAGCCACAACGACTATTCATCATGCAATTAATGAATCTGAGAAGGCTTCTTATGTTGCACATATTAACAGTTACTTGGCTGAAGATAAATTCATGAAGCAGTTTCTTCCAATTGATCCAGCTGCAAATGCATTGTTTGATCTTGCTAAAGATGGAGTTCTGCTCTGGTAAATGATCGGCACACAACACGAGATCAATCTATTTTAAAAGACTAAAAAAATTTTGCTCTCCAATTTTATTGGTTATTTTAATGCTGCAGCAAGCTTATTAATATCGCTGTTCCTGGGACCATAGATGAGCGAGCTATTAATACAAAACGGGATCTTAATCCATGGGAGAGAAATGAAAATCACACCCTTGGCCTCAATTCAGCAAAGGCTATTGGGTGCACAGTGGTTAATATTGGTACTCAGGATATGGTTGAAGGAAGAGTAGGTTCAATCTTCTTTTTGTCCCTATCCCTTTTTTTGTGAATTGAAACACTTCAGTTATGAACATTTTCTTGTTTGTTAATTTGTAGCCTTATTTGATACTTGGTCTGATTTCACAAATAATCAAGGTATGCTACTGAAATCTACTCCCTTTTTACTTGCATAGTATGGAGCTAAGAGGAGGGATTGACACCTTTCTAATTTTGATTATTCATTGGAAAGACTTTTAAACTTACGCTGTGTTGTGTTTTTCGGTTTTTCCATTATGTGGCAACATTAGATTCAATTGCTAGTCGACCTGAATCTGAAGAAAACTCCTCAACTCTTGGAATTAGTGGAAGATGATAAGGTGATATTAGCTAATATAGTTCCTGCTATTTGTAACTAGGAAGTCCCATAATATTCTTTCTTTTACATAGAACTACAATTAAATTAAACCTCTTCATTATGTTATGATAAAATGACAAGATGTGGAGGAGCTTATTAGCTTACCACCTGACAAAGTTTTATTGAAATGGATGAATTTCCACTTGAAGAAAGCTGGATATGAGAAACAAGTTACAAATTTCTCTTCTGATGTAAAGGTGAGGGAAATGTTAATTCTTATTGTATGTTTATTTACTCTAATATAAATTGTAAGAAATGATAAAATTAAGTAGTTAAGGTATCATGTAAATATATAATAATATAGGGCAGCGTAAACTGTAGAAAGAAATTAAAGAGGTATGTATACGTGTATAAAATTTAATGAAATAGTATCGTAGTACTCCTTATGAACCCCTTTTTGTTCTGATCTACTTTATCAGTGAAGAAACTGTGAACCTCCTTTTGTTTTGTTGTCCGTTACAGCGTTTAGTAATTTTCTAGGAATAAATTTACTGTATTGTCATATACCATAGCTGATTACTGAATCATTGTGTGGCACATTTTCTCACATAGCAGATGTTTGATAGATGTAAACAGATACGACATGGTTATAAGCTACCACGGGTCTATTTTATTTTTAATGCTTTCTTTTTTGCAGGATGGAGAGGCTTATGCTTACTTGCTAAGTGCTCTTGCTCCGGAAGTTGCAGGCCCAGGTGCCTTGACCACAACTGATCCTACAGAAAGAGCAAAGATGGTTCTTGAGCAGGCAGAGAGATTAGATTGCAAGCGACACCTCACTCCAAAGGACATAGTGGAGGGGTCTCCTAACCTTAATCTTGCATTTGTTGCTCAAATATTCCAGCATAGGTATGGGTTACTTTAAACATGTTGTAAATTGTGTTATTCGCTTTGTTGCAATTTTTTGGGGGCATGCTTCGAAGAACCTATTTAGGAAAAAAGAGGACGGGGCAATTGATTCACATGTTAGGAACACATATTTAGAGGATGGTGCTATAGCTTGGAGAATGTGACTTTCATTCTTATAAATTCAAAAATCTCTTCTACTTTCACTTGTGTAGGAATGGCCTTACGGTTGACTAAAAAAAAGTCCTTTGCTGAGATGATGACTGATGATGCACAGACATCTCGGGAAGAAAGATGCTTCAGGCTCTGGATTAACAGTCTTGGAATTGTTACTTACGTCAATAATATTTTCGAGGATGTCAGAAATGGGTAGCCTTTCCACTATTCAGTTGGTTTATCATTCACATTTTCCTCACTCTGTTCACTTCTGGTTATAATTTTCTTTATTTCCTTTTCCACAGATAGGTTCTATTAGAAGTTCTTGATAAGGTTTCACCTGGATCTGTCAACTGGAAGGAAGCAACAAAGCCTCCTATAAAGATGCCATTTCGAAAATTGGAGAATTGCAACCAAGTTATAAAAATTGGGAAGGACCTTAACTTTTCCTTAGTAAATGTTGCTGGTAATGATATTGTACAAGATAAGAAGCTCTTTAGTTTCTATTCAGAATCTTGTGAACTATATGGCTGGTTGTAGAACTGCTGTATCGAACATAGTTATGTCCATAGTGTTGCTTTTAAGAAGATATTGATGTAAATTAGGTGCAATTCTGTGTTGATTGTTGGCTGTTCAGAAGATGATATGATTTTTTCAGGCCAATATTTAAGGTTTCTTATTTTGATGATGTTTTGATAAGTACGTACTTGGTGCTTTATAATTAACATGCACATGTTTGTTTGTGTATTAGTATTATTAATATACGTAATTATGTTTATAAGTTGTTGGTATATTTTATTTGATAATTAGGGGTTTAATTTGGGTGTAATTAGTTGATTGAGTTGGATAGTCTGATTTGGGGGTAAATTATTAAATGGAAAAACTGCATCTGATTTGTGTGATTATCCAAAAAAAAAAACAACTTCTTAGGTCGGTTAATTATACCCGATTTAAGAAAGTAAGTTCTTAGGTCGGGTATAAATGATTTCTGCAGGCTAGACTTATTAATTCGGGTTCTGCCTAACAGACCTAAGAAGTTGTTTCTTAAGTCAGGTCCACAACCGACTTAAGAAGTCAAAACTTCTTATGTTAGTAATTCTTAGGTCGGGCTCGGACCCGACTTAAAAAGTCATTTTTAACCGACTTAAGAAGCCTTTTTTCCACTAGTGTGTAAATTAGAGAAAAGTTGAGGTGTGTTACTGTGTGGTAGTGTATAAGGGAGGTTTAGTTGTATGCTAGCACAACGAGCACCTTGAAGAAATTCGACCTTGTAGACGTGGTCAATCTTATTTCGTCTTTTTATGTGATTTTAAACATGAAAAATTATGGAAACTAATTTGTAAAAGTCCTCTTTTAAATTTTAGCAATACCGCTTCCATTATTAAACTGAAAGTGATCGACCTTGTCAATAATAGGGAATTTTATCTCACTACTATTAACATGAATAACATCAAAGCTAGATTTAGTTTTGGAGACGTCAAGTTAACTAGTCTCGTTGTTATAGAGAATGTCATGGATGATCCCAGGGTGCAATGTTACCCTGTCGGGCAGAGTGATACTCCGTAGAGTGCAAACTCTTAAGCGTGAGCCATTTTATATGTTTATTCTACCGTTTCTAGATTGCAGTTTATGTTTGTCTCATTTTCTCCTTTTCTTAAGCTTTCACGTTGTCGGGTGGGTGTATCTCTTGGCGAACAAGTGACTCCAAGCA